TTAAATACCACTTTTTTGGAGTTTATGTGAATACAACCCTTTTTTTGACCCAATTCGGTTTGTGTCTTTGATAATCCAAGCCTGCAACCAACTTACCGACAGTTAGTCTGTTCCCGTACCGCAGGATTTTATCAAAAATAGTCCGAGTCCGCTCTGTGCACATAAGTCCAGAATATCAAGAATCTAGCGATGAAAAAAACAAAAAAATGTAGCTCGATAGAACTTTTTATGCTACACAACAAAAATTATCTAGCAGAAGTAAAATATAAAAAAGATATCGATGGTCAAAGTTAAATTTTTTGATTTTTATTAAATATTAATATCTTCTGAACAACATAACCTTTTAAACAACTAATGACGTCAGAATAAAGGTAATAAACAGGGAACGGATTTTTAGGACCTAAAAACCTATAAAAAAGGCAAAATAAAATAACGAAATAGGCTGGAAAAGGCAAAATAAAATAGCGAAAAAGGCAGGAAAAGGCACAAGGTGTTGCAAAAAAGGCAAAAAAAGCAAAACAAAATAGCAAAAAAGGCAGGAAAAGGCAAAAAAAGCAAAATAAGGCACCTAAAAGACAGAAAATACGAAGAACAATCAAAAAATACATTTATATTACAAGTAAAAAGAGAAAAACTATGAACTAGTTTCATTATATGAAAAATTTGTACTTTGAATCTTTGACTATTTTATCCTTTCGGGTTTCTAACTCATAAAACTTTTATCTGTATAGTTGTAGTAACATTGAACCACAAGATGCATTTTGAAGTTTTCTGGCAGCATTTTCATTCGAAGTTGATACAAGTGGAGCCCAATTTAAATATGGAACGTTTGAAACGTTCATATTATCAGGAATAAGGGCGTTTTCCTCGCCCTTTATAATTCTATCAACACCCCTTATTGTCTACAAGCCTTCGTTAGCTGAGAAAACGGCTTCGAATTTTTCCAACACCAATTTGGCAAGAGGTCTCTGCGCTTCTATAAGCCGCATGGGCAATGTGTATATTTTTTAATCTTTAAAAAAAAATGTAAATGCTATAATCACTTTTTTAAAGGTAGAAAAGGCAAAAAAAGGCAAATATCTTAAAAAAGGCAACATCAAATGTGTATATATGGAATCAGGGAAAGCTAAATCGTGGACATTCTTAATCGAATATACTATATCTTTTTAGCAGAAAAAAAGGCAATTTCCATAAAATCCGTTCCCTGGTAATAAATTTGTCTTTCATGTGCGTGTATAACTTATATTCTTTTTACATTTTTAGTCCGGAAATACTAAAAAACACAAAAAAATATAAATATATTTTTTTAAATGGCTTTTATGCAAAATTCGTTTCAAAACTAGTTATAGCATATACATCGCATAAAAATATTTAAATTATGTGGAAATTAGCATCAATAATTTTTTAATCGGTTAAGTAGATATTAAACACATAAGAAATAGAAAAGTTGAACTTTAACCTCTTTTATTGGCTTTGGTTTTTATTTGTACCAAATAATTTTGGTATGGTTGAAATCAGCGTAAAAAGTTCAATCGATCTTCGTTTCTTGTTTTTTATAGCTAAACGGTTGGTATTCTAGACTAATATATGTGTGTGTGTTAAATCCTGTTGTACGGGAACAGACTAAGGGTCGTTTTCCCCATCTCTGGTTAAAAGTAACCCAAGGTTAAACATATTTACGGACGTTACTGTCTCCATGCATATAACATTGTGTCGGTAATGTTGGTAACAATGTTTAACTGGAGATTAGTGTTAACCAGAGATAGTGAAAACGGCCCTTAATGAGAATAAGAAAAAGTAAACAAAAAATGTCAAATTAAACTGTGAGTTTCTTAAATACCCCAATATGAACACTTGAACGCTTTATTAGCTTCATACGCTCGCCGTTCAATTTCGGTTGGTTCCATGCAAGTTGTACGTGCATGAGAAATTTTTGACAGCAAAGCGTGCGTGAATATTAGGTTAGTCGATATTAAAATATGAAGTGATTCGGGGAGATAGGTGCAGTCGTCTTGCATGATTTGAGATGGAATTGGTCACGTATATAGATTAACGTAATAATAATGGGTATTAATGCTCCTGCTCTTCTCACTTACGTTTCGGTGAAGCTTCATTTTGTTTTATCGGTGGGATATTCGCTGGCAACTGATTGTGCTGAATTAAATTTGGGCAGCAGACTACAAATATACAAGTCAACGGTTGATGGTTTAAACTCGGTTTAACCCTGCCTGATAGGACGTTTAAACTTAGTTTAAACTACGTTAAATTTTACCGAAAAACTGCGCACTGAGTTTAAACTTAGTTTAAACGACAAACAGAGCTAAACTCTCTCTGAAAAACTGGCCCTTAATCAATTGAACAGCCAGAAAGCTAACAAAATTCTCCATAAACGGTATATACATTAGGCTGCGTCAATTTTGTATGTGGTAAAATAAAAGGCATTTGATCGCACTGTAATAGTAATATTATGTTGTCTTAGGTCTAAACCAATAATAATTGGCCACGAAGGATTAATTTAAATAATATCTTTAGCCCACGCAATTGATTCAAAGTTTATGAATTTGGAAAATTAAACTTTGGTTGGTAATATCTAGGAAATGCGTTAATTGTTATACACTAGACGATATATCAAGTGAAACGTCATTAAATTTAGTATCTCACGTTTATACATCATTTTTCAATAAGACTACAAGTTTTCGAGATATTTAGAAAAATTTATAAAAGCAATGACTTTCCCGTATGACTTTTCAGTTCTTCATTACTTTAGTCAAGTGAAAATGAAAAAATTAGACGAGATTTATTTCAAAGATTTTTAGGTTTTCGGATGATTATATAATATTTAAAGGACCATGGACTTGGTCACGCCAATTTGGTCAGTTTTCAACATAGTGAAATTAATTACGGATGTGCAATATTAGGAATCATTTGATTACTACATATGTTAACTAAATAATATGTAGGTGAGCAACGCCCATTTTAAGCCCATTTATGTGTTATTGAAAATTGGAGCGGAATAGTTTCATGAGTCACCAAAGAAGCACACTTTTCGCGGTTTCTAAATTTGCCGTTATACGAAAGTAGGGGCGTGCAATAAGTATTAAGATATACGTAGATATGTTAGTTAATTCCATTATGTCAAAGAGACCGTAGGTGAATGCACTATCCTTTCCGTAATCGTTTGCTTATATTTTGAAGTTATTTATGTATACAATTTACGAGAATTTTTTGTCGATAAAAGACAGAGATGCATCCCTATCTTCGACATAACCTTCACAAATATTACTCGATCGGTACGTAATAACTACCAAACTGAAGCCGAGACTTGTACTGATTCATGATAATAATATGTTAAAAATCACTCAGATTAAAACAAATTATTCAAAAAGAATAAAAATGCTAAACAAAAAGCCTTGTGAACTTCTTTTAATTGCAATTTTTGTATGGTATGTATAATAATAAGTAAACTAACTATTGTTTGTCCAATTTGTGCTAGTTCAGTGTTTCCATATTCATTTGCATAAATGAAATTTTTTCACGGTGATAGAAAATAAAGGTTTTCTTATTATAGCTCCCCAAATTGTTCCCAAATTTGCAAAAATTCGCAAACCACCGGAACCAGCGACCTAAATACACCCCAGAAATATGAATGCTGTTCTTTACATCTTCTGACTAAAGACCAGTGCAATTATCAACACAACAATTTCAATTTGGTTGAAAAACAGATAAGTTTGAGAGTAACGATGTATTGTGGAACGATTTTCCGTAATCCCTTGTCAAATTTGGTTTGGAGACAAACCGGTTTCGGCGTTGTGCCATCTTCAGTGTCATTTTTCGTTCTCGAGATCGTTCCACAATACATCATACTCCTACCCTGTCGGAAACACAAACAACCAAAAAGAAGTTTGAGAGTAACCTTAAATTAAAGGATTGCCAGAGATGATATTTGAATTTGTCGTTTGCCTTTGCAGATTCATTATCTAATAAGATCCACCAAAACTTTTTGCTGAACCCTGAATCTTCAACAAGATTCCGTCTTATTCGACCAGTGTACTTTGTGTCACTTGGGGGTCGATGCGGGGGCTCTAGTAATTAAAATAAACGATTAATATTTTACAGGCTTGTCGTTGACCTCATCATACAATATAATTTCACTATTTCCAAAGGATTTAAGAAACATTGAATTTTCGGCCCGCCCTAATATGCATGACTTTTCGAGGAATCTGATAGCTTTTGATTATCATTCCAAATTTTTTGTGTTTTTGATGAAAAAAGATAATAATAATTCAAACTTTAGCAGGCGAAAAATGAAAAAATAACGAATTTTTTGACAAGAAAATCGATGGATAAATTAAAAAGGATTGAGTTGCTCATACGCCATGTCCCCATGCTCATTTTAATACAAAACATCTTTGTCCATTTTCATTTGATCTCTCATTCCTTCCTAATTTACCCATCGATTTTCTTCATTGGTAGCTTAATTTTTTTTTGTAAAGAACCAGACTTCTGTATGAAAAACTGATAAAAAATTCGCCATTTTTATTTTTCCCCTATTAAAGTTTCAAATTTATTTAATTTTTTCAACCCCATCGAAAAGAAATGTATGTACGGTTTATGGAGAATTTTGTTAGATTTCATTTGCCATATTCTTATTAACGTCGATCAATTGTTTCGTAAGATATACGTACCCTTTTTTTAGCTGAATAGCGGTAAATTGCAAATATCTCGAAAACTTATCCATAGAAAAAAACGTTAACTCGATTTTGGTAATCAGCGAGCAATTCTAAAAGGATTTGGATAGTCGCATCCATGGAATGCTTTTGCTGTAAACCAGTGTAATTACCGATTCAACTCTTAAATTCGACCTGTCATCCGAGTTTTTGCTAATGAGGCAAACTTTGTATTGTCACCTATAGGGACATTAAGTCTATTAAAATTCTTTCTTTATCCGATTTTTACAAGCACTAAAGATTGTTCCTTTTTATATATCTACACATTCGCAGGTCAAGCAGTTGGAGGCATTAATGACTCACGTATTCAAGATTTAATTGTAGAGAAGGGAACGATTCACACAAAACGGCACAGTGGCGAAGATCCTATCAAAACGGGGTGAGTAAAAAACATATGTAGATGTATACTTACATATACATTATGGCATTTTTGGCTTTCCTATTCGCTCGTGAATAGGTTTTCATTCGCTGTCAACGTCTCACAGTGTAACGTCCCAAGATCAATGAAATTTTCCACTGAAGGTTTGTACAAAGGTACATATGCAGAACAATTAAAAATTTGAGCAAAATTGTATGAAGAACATCTCGCATACTTGTAGAACTGGAAACTGAGACATCTGTTTCGTATACTAAATTTAGTAGCATTGCAACAAAATTTAATATTTGTGCAAGACTTGAGGATATCTTTAACATACCTAAAAATGTTTAAAGTTGGTCCACTGCCAGGCCCACCTCCCATATAGCACACCGCTATAAAATGCACATACATAGAAAAGTTCTACCGATAAAACTTTGTACACTCAAGCGTTTTAATAATACACTAGTGATCCCGCACGACGTTAAACCGCCCAAAATTTTATTTTAAAAACCTAAACAATAATCGAAATTTTTGTCAGTTATAAGCGATCCGAGTGCCATATTTCATTTAAATCCGTTCAGCCATTTCTGAGTGAAGAGAGGTATTTTTAACTGCATCAAATTTCAAATCACTCTGTACTGATATGGGGGGATGAAATAACACAAACGGCAATAACGCAAAATTTGCTTTATTTCACTTTTAAGTGGGAAATAATACCAAAATCTGAGTTTTGCTTTATTTCCAACAAAGTTTGGTAATAAAACCAATTATGCCTTATTTCCCATTGCTTATTTATACTATTTGTAAAAAAAAGTTTACTGACAGAAAGAAAAAGAACTTCGTTTATTCCAAAAATACAATTAAACCAGGGTGCATTCAACAGGTAATATCAGTATAGCAGCTAATTTGATTTTTTTAAATTATTTGTTCTCGAAAATGTCAAATATTTTACATTTATTCTCACAAAAATTCTAAATTGTTAAAATCTATTTGCATGTGAAACATTTTCCATACAAAACCAGCGATTAAATAGCAGCTTTTGGAAAGCTCGCCCAACTCAGCAGCACAGCCGCTGATTACTGGGCCTGGCACAGGATGCATTAATGCTTCGAGAAGCGAACCAATTTACTAAGAAAGAAAGTTGCAACAATTTTCATTTTATTCAATTTAAGTTTTTTACCTTTTTCGTATTTCGCATGGCACGCTTTGATGTACCAGAAGCAACAACAAAATACAGGCAAATCATGATACAATAATTTTTAGAAGGTACTTTCACTTTTCAAATTTTTGACATAAACCGTGTCTGTGACAAACACGCAATGTGGCAACTGCTACGATATAGAACTTGGGGATTATCGCTTGTTATTTTAGATATTTTTTAACAGAACATGTAAAGATTTATATGTTTCATAACTGATCACTTAATTTTTAATATAAATATACGTAGTTTATACATACATTTTTGCCACTGCTAATCACATGAATAAAAATCATAAAAATGAAAATATAACAGCAATATTTCTTGTTTATAATGGATTAGATCCATCGCACACCACGGACTTTATCGGCCGCCAATTTAGATGTGCTCGCTAGTCTTTCCATTGCACCACAACTTATTGGTCAGAGCGATTAAGCTGGTGTAGTGTGCTCACCTCCATACATCTTCATGTACATATTTCAAGCGAGCCCTATCATTTAAATAGGCGGCCGATAAAGTCTGTGGTGTGCGGTGGCTCTTATAGCTGTGTCCTTACATCTATTCCGTGTGTTGCAATATCCACGAAAGCAGCAGTTAATTTTTTATGAAGAAAATTATTACAAAATATTCGAAAATTTCTCTACTTATATGTTTGGCTTTTCTTTGTTTTATTTTTCCAACGTCAAATGCTGGATTTTTTTTTTTTAAAGTTGGAACAACAAAAAATACGAAACACGTTTTCTGTCAGATAGCCAACATGGCGGATAAGAAGAAGAAGTGAAACTACCTTCTAAAAATTATTGTATCATGCAGGCAAATGTTGTTTTTGCTCAAATGCTCCAAACCTGTTTGATAGGCCTTGCATTAAACAAAAAATGTGATATAATTCATATGAAGAAAGTAATATTCACAAAATATTTTTATTAATGAAAAGTCTAACAAAATATAGGAAAAGCATCGTCATTAAAAACTGCTCCGCATATTGGACATAGCGCTTTTGTATGAATTTTTTCTGCATGCTTTTTAATGTGTTAAAAACATTGCTGGAAAACCGTAAAATGTTTGCATGGAACCATGTCGCAATAAACAGATGAAGTAATAAAACGGCTTTCTCGCTTTATTTTCCGACATTCGGCTGCCTTATAGTCACATTTTATAGGCAAATTTTCAAATAAAACAGCGGCGACTGGTAAATTCCACTATGGGTGGGATGCATGCAATAACACCACACACAATAATTCCCATTATTTGGACATTAAAAAGCAGTTTCAGAAGTGAACTACTGTTATTTTATCATTTTTCCTTTTTCTAAACGGTTATAATGCTACCAGTGTATAATTGCGAAAGGAGGGGTGGGGCGGGGGACGCGAGCGCGGCGCGGGGCGGCCCGCGACGCCGGGCACTTTCAAAATTGTATACTTACAAATCCATCCATTTAACTTGTTCATGTACTACTTTTTGTCAAATGTAACTGGGTGACTACATACATATGTGCACTATTTGGCTTTATTACTCAAATTGTTAAGTATAAAAGTTGGTCTTATTGCTCAACGAGAAATGAAATAAAGCATATTTGTGTTATTTCACATCCAATTGGGAAATAACTCAAATTTGCGTTATTGCCGTTTACGTTATTTCAATTTATGTTATTTTTCAATTTATGAACCTTTTTTAAAGCTACTTTATTTTTTATGAATAATGCTATAACTTTTTAAACACGTGGCAACCTTCTTCAAACATTCCAAATGTTCAAACTAAAGATTTACACTCCTTCGTATTTTAATAATTCATATAATTTTTGTATTAGGGCCATTCTATTATGACTCGTGGGATATTTTACTCCAGAATGTGATCAATTGTGAATTATAGCTATGTCGTCGGAACTTACACTACAGCGAAAGATTTTTTTAACATAGAACGATAACTAATGAATAAAATTGCTTTAACATAAATACCAAAAGATTTCTTCGTTTTATGTAACTGTCATCAGGGCTGCCGCTTTAGAATTTTTTTCCTTACCAAGATTTTTACAGTACACTAAAAAGAGTTACCAAAAGTTACCAAAATTTTCCCAAAGTTACCAAAGCCAAAATTTAAAAACATAAGAAAGCTTAATTTTTAATCATTTTAATACAAATGAAAAAAAATAGTGATAACAATAAAAAAGAAACAAAATACCTAGAATTGAGATCATTTCATTAACATGTATTTAATACATTTGAGGCACATGTTTTTACATTCATATGTTTATGATTAGAAACAAATGTTTATGTAGTGTCAACCTTACCATCTAGTAGCTATAACTTAATTGAAATTCTCATTCACAACAATTCCAATTTTAATTGAAGAGTAAAAAAGGGACCCTGATAACGGCAAATAATAGCAAATGTAATTTCATTTCTGAAGATATTTGAAAATGTTCAGCAGAAGTTAAAAACTTACAAAAAGTTACAAACTCAAATTTGTGAAGGTAACAATTACCAATTTTGGTAGAATTCTACCAAAACGGTAGCCCTGACTGTCATTTGAATGAATGTGACTGGTGGGACACTGAAAAGAACTCCATTTTACCATTGTGCACTCAAAGATGAATTTTAGCCAAAACACTTAATCTTAACGAACAATGTTTTTGTGTTATAAAATATGAACTACACACTTTCGTTAAAAAAGAAAATTTTTTTTTAATGTATATAGCCAGCATGAACGAACGAATAAAGATCCCCCAGGACGGCGTGCGAGAAAAAAGTTATTTTTTTGCAGTGACGTGAAACCTGTGTGTGTATGAAAGAACCGATTAGAAAATGACGTCATCAACTATTTTTTTCCCCAAATGCAATTTTAAATACACGGTTGCCGTGCTGGGTCAGCCAGGCATGGTCAGAGAACGAGCACACGATCACTCCTTGGCTACAGCANAATGAAAGAACCGATTAGAAAATGACGTCATCAACTATTTTTTTCCCCAAATGCAATTTTAAATACACGGTTGCCGTGCTGGGTGAGCCAGGCATGGTCAGAGAACGAGCACACGATCACTCCTTGGCTACAGCAGCCAACAACACATACCGGTTAGAAAAAAAACAAGCTGTCAAGTGCAAGCTCAACGCTCTTATGTAGGTATGGCGCTCAGTACGGCAATCATACCAACTACGAGTACTACATACATACATATTAGGGATGTTAATTTTTTCGATTGTCACTATCCCGGGATTTCCGGGATGCCGTCGGTTCAATCCCGGGATTTAGATATTTATTATTTTTTAACGACTTAAGATGAAAAAATTGCATCAATATGGTTTGAGAAGCTCTCCTACCATATAATAAATGATAAGTAAATGGGTTTGATGCGTACTTTTAATTTAAAGTGAAAATTATTTCATAAGTTACAAAACGAAAGACAGTAATTAAATGTATATGCATTTAATAATACTTTAGAGTGTACATATTTGCTAGAGTAATTTAAGGTATGTCGAAAAAAGCTCGATGCAAAAAAAATTAAATAAAAAAATGTATTTTCTGGTTGAAAGAAGTTCATAATACTGGTGGCAGAAATAAAAGAGTGCCTTAATTCGACCAGTTTTGTCTATATTCCTTTTGTTTATCCAAAATTTAAATTTTTTTATAAAAGTCTACCTCATATTACACATAGTTAACTGCATATAAATGGGCATTTCTCTGACGTCACGATTTTTTTTAAAAGACTATCGAGCCCTAACCGCCAAAATAACGTAAGCGACATTTTTTTTCAAAGTTTTCTTTTGATGCAGAAATATTCCTAGAGCATCTAGATATATTTCTGCATCAAAACGAAAATTTTGAAAAAAATGTCACTTACGTTATTTTGGCGGTTAGGGCTCGTGATAATTGCAAAGATATGGTTAATTCCAAAATTTCTTTAAACAAATTCTGTGCAATGTAAAACAAAAGTATGGGTACCAAATGAAATAATTTTTTTGGGCTCACAAGGACGAATAAGAATTGAAAATGCCCCTTTAATCTATTTTTTTTTAAGCTAATAAAGTTAGCCCTTAATTTTGAAAAAATCGAGTAATTTTTAAGCAAAAAACAAAACCAACTTCAATTCTCATATAAATATTAAAATTATCGTTAACTTCTTCATGATCCGCTGATCGGACCAAATTGAAATGGGACCACCTGTGAGGTAACAACACCTTTCCTTTAAAAAAAGCATTATAGAAATCGGTTAACGTGGTCCAAAGATATGCGGTAAGAGTCATAAAAAAAAAAATATTCCGACGAATTGATAACGTTTCTCCTTTTTGTGAAGTCGGTTTAAAAATATTTTAAGTTGTGACTGGTGGGACATCTGCTTGTGACTGGTGTAAAGTAATTATGCATAAAATAATTTTCATAGACAAAAATTAACTTCTTTTTATTTTTTAATATTTTTCAACACATTAATGAAACGTAGTGATTTAAAAAGAGATCTTATATCCTGGGCAAAAATCCCCTCGCGTTATACTACATATATATAGAAGATATAGGGACATTTTGCGTATGGCATATTGTTGCCGCCACAAAGCAGCTGCACTGCCAAGTGAGGTTTCTGTACCTTGGTTAATACTACTTATATGTTTAGATATCAATAAATAGTTATTCATAAAAAACTAACGGTTTAAATGACCAATTTACTTGATAAAATCGAGAAAATCAGGAAATTTCTAGTGCGACCCGCATAAAATCAACTTTTCATTAAGGGATAACTTCTTGAGCGATCTGACCTAAAGCTCGGAGGTTTCAGGCGTTCATTTATAGGTACTTAGTAATACAAAGACAGGCATTAAACAAAGTGCCAGCTACCAAATGCGAGAAAAAANTTATCACTCAAAATATCAGATGGTAAGAAGAAATGCTCCCAAATTCTCTCTCATGTAGAGAAACTTGCAATTTTCTGTACGAACGCAAATTTGCAAGTTTTTCTGCCAGCTAGTGTCCACGGTTGCATTTCAAACAAAAGAAATTTGTATAGAATTTTAAAATTCTTTCAGACTGGCAAAAAACAGGATCTACGTGTATATGTCTTGTCAGTCCGACTTTCTCCAATATACGTTTCAATTTCTTTGTCGGGTTTACTATATCGACTCTGGTTGAGATTGGATTCCGATTAAGAATACAGTTTTTCTTTTGCCGAGTACCTTTCAAATCATTGGAATTAACTAAATTAATTAAGTAAACAAGTATTAACTTACATTTTTCATTTTAAAATCGCTCCAGTTTGTACATTTTTAAATTTAACGAACTTCTTTATTCAAATTATCGTAGACAAAAAATCCAACCATGCGCCACAATCATATGTTTTTCCTAATTGCAAATTCTTGCTGGCAAAATTTTTTCCGGCTCGAATTTGTAACTTCTCTCCAAGAAATAGTCTTTTTACTCGTGATTTATTTAAATAAAACATATGAAATTTAGTTGAAACATTTTAGCCGGTTTTATTTGCCAATTTAGCCGGTTCGTCCAAAAAACCAAATAACGATTTAACTGGGTACGGTTTAGTTATTTGCACAATGATTTCGGGCTATTGTGTCCGAATGGGTGGCCCGATCCAATAAATTTTACACACACTTGTAGTCAATGGTCTACACAGTGTTGCCACTGCGTTAGCCTTTAAAGTATCTATAAAAAATCGAAAACTGTATCCAAATGTATCCACCGAAAAAAGCGGACATTTTTACACAGTATACCTATGGAAGAAAAACTCGGCCCCTTAACAAAGTTATTCCCATCCTTAGACACGGATTTGGGAAACAAAGGCCCGTAGTTATAGTCAAAATTAAGTCGACTCGTCAAGTTAATTGCAGTTTTTTGACATAATTTTCTTTGAGATACCTGTCACAAAAGCTGCAACTAACTTTAGTGTCGACTTAATTTTGACTATAACTTTGTTTCCCAGTTCTGTTTCTAAGAATTGAAAAATATTAACTACAACTGCGGGCCAAAGTTTCCGAATGATCGATGTTTTTGTTTTACTACGATTAGATTCCTACAAATAATACATCCAAAAAATGTTTCCTAGTCTATTAAAATAATACTAATTTAAACTAATTTTGACCTGTTACATTTAGTTCAGTAAATTGTTATTTCCTGCTATTATAGTTACAATGTTTTTCAATCAAACTGGGGGATTCGGAGCTATCTATGAAATTAAAAAAAAACTCAAAAACTTGTATTTGTCTGTAAATTCCGCCTTCATAAAAAATTTCTATTTCCAGCTTGTTTGAATTATCGCTTAATGACATATGTATGTATAACTGTAAATTTAGAAGTTATAAGTTATTTTTAGTACAGTCAAGTTATTGTTGAAAATTTGTCATCAATCTGGTTGTCAATGCCGGTTGTCAATTTCCTTTGAATGCTAAGAGAAGGGTTGCTCGGGGTGCAAAAGTTGATGTTTTCGCATTACAGTTAAGTAATACAGGTGGGAACACTTTATAAAATGTGTACACTACTTGATGTTATTAAATGCACGCACGAGAATTTCTCGATTGGAGGGTGACCAGCCAACTGTTAAAAATGTAATAATAGCTTGTACATAAATAAAAAAATTTCCTTTATCTTACGGATACTTATGGGAAAAGGTATCCAAATTTACACTGAGGAAAAAAACGACCTATCCCTCAAAATTTAAGGCGAAAATGTATCCAATTGGATACATATGTGTCAAAGCAGCAACATTGGGTCTACACTTTATTGTAAAACCTAATTTAGTAATTTGCGGTCACTAATTTATTTATAAAATCGGTCTAAAAAATGAACTTTTTTTGTGATTCTCGGAGTGAGTTCTACGCAAATATACCGGGGATGGCNTTTATTGTAAAACCTAATTTAGTAATTTGCGGTCACTAATTTATTTATAAAATCGGTCTAAAAAATGAACTTTTTTTTGTGATTCTCGGAGTGAGTTCTACGCAAATATACCGGGGATGGCCTACCCGGAGTTATATGCACAAGAAATGTTGAATACCTTTGACAAGAGAAAGGTGTTCTGCACAAAAATACTGTTTATCGAGTTTACAGTTCCGGTCTAAAAATGGTAATTTTAGACCATTTTCCAATGGTTCTCCAGGGGTCTGTGATAGGATTCGGGGGGTCAAGTGTGACTTTCTGCAAAGTGTGAACTGTGCTCTTTCTAGTGGGTAAGATATTAAGGCCCACGCACCCTTCCCCCCCCTCCGCCCACTAATCAAAAAAACAGTGGGAGAATAACTAAACAATTTAATCCAATTTACCTATTTTTGTGTTAATATTTCTGCGTAGTGTTATACAATTATTGAAACATTACAAGACAAAATGAAGTGTGCAGTGGCAAATTGTAAAATTGAAAACAAAAGGCAACTTACATACATATCTGCATACATTCATATAACTTAATGAATTTTTCCAACATCCGGCCATTGGACATTGGACCATTTAATATTGATATCAACACAGTTTTCCGTATTGTTTAAAATTTTTCCTTCGTAATTACTTGTCTCTCTCGCAATTGCACCAAAATGACGTCACGCGAAAACTACACTCAAAAATCCTCTCTGATGGGCGCAATCTTGTACTCTATCATTCTTAGTATAAAATTATGAAATTTGCCTTTTATAAATATACACTTGCTCCTTACCAAGAATCTAATGAAAGCATTTATCTTCACAGAACATGTAAATCTGATAGCGGTATACGCGCCTTCACACAAGCCGCAAATAATCGTCCACCACGAGGCGCTGATAAAATACGTGCTGCCTCTGGACCATCGATATTACCCCGTCCCGAAGATATTTTAATTAATGATGCTGAGGTAAGCATACTACTAACACACACACACACATACTCTTTACACACATATGCACAAATAATTAATTTATTATTCCGCTTTTACATGAATTCCTTATTATTCGAATATGAAATTAAATATACTCTACTGCTCACACAAAAACACAGCTACGGCAGGAGGAGAACGTAGAGTTGCGATCCGCAGATGCTCCTATGGCACCACATCCACTGCCCATGCCGGAGTATGGTGGATACTTTGCCCCACTTACTGAATTTTTACCAGACGCCAGTTTGCCAATCAGCGGCTTTCACCGGTTAGTAAACGTCGATGTTGTTTTTGCATCCTTTGTTAGTTATCACTAGGAAGCGGATTTCCATGCACAGTAAATTGAAAAATATTCGCACATACTAGGCGTTTAAAACTGAATAATGGCTGCGTTTCTTTATACATTCCGGATAAACCCATTTCACAGCCGGAATAAACAGAATGCGTTTGGAATATACGTTAACATATCATCAGGAACGTTCTAAAGAATAAGTAAACAAAAAGGTTTATTCCAAACGTTCAGAATGAATAAAAAAATGCAGTCAATGTGTACATAAAATATGGAACAAAACTTAAAAATTCGCTGTCATAAATATGTAGTGCCTTTAAAAAAGTGTATTGAAAGCACAAACATTTGCAGAAATAATAGTACTGTACATAGCACATACATGTACATAAAGTGACCCAAGAGGAAATGTGACAGTTTTTTTACAATATTCACAATGATTATTATAGTTAATTATTTTCGTTAATTATTTTATGAGAATAAAGCTTATTCTATAATATAAACCATATAAATAAAAGCTTTGTGCAAAATTCATGAAAATTCAACAAATTTGTAAAAAAGCATTCATGTAGATTTCAACTTCTTTTGTTGAAGGTGTTTAGCGTTTGGCTCCATATAAAGCAGTGGTCGGCAGGCCATACCCAGTAGAAATCTTAAGCATACAACATCGCTGTTGGTGGCATGAGCTTGCTGCTGTGTATACATGCCAGTATAAATGAACCTTCATTTCCATATAACACGCGTGGTTTCTCAGAGCGTATGCGTACCTTAACATACACTTGTACTACTGCTGTATGCATATGGCTGTATTAAAGTTTCAAACATACAAAAATGCATTAATGGAAAAGCATTCTTACAAGATCGCCATATGTAAAGGCTACTTTTCTGATACATTTTAATATACGGGGACTTACAAACAAGTAGCACTTACATATGCAAATGCATATCTTGTAAAAGCCCGTTTGTGCTGAAAATAGTATCGCACAACACGTCCGTTCACTAAAATTTTTGTACAAGACTAAAAATATTACAAAAATTCCACTTCAAATTTATCAAGAAATGTACTTAAAACAACGACAACGTACATTCGCTTGCAATTCGATAGAATTTGAATTTATTCGTGGATATTCATGACTACGCATGAATTTTCCACACTAATTCACTCATATAGCAAGCATCTTTCAAGAATGCATACCACCGATTTCTACTGGGTAGCTCACTGAACGCTCTCTGAGCACATGTGTGTTCCACACGTATACGAAGAGCGGCAGCTGAGCAGTGCATTTAACGCATACAGCCTCACTTATTGAATCGTTTGAATGTGTTAGCATGCCGACTACTTATATAAAGCATACTCACTTTTTTTATATTAGCCGTCATCGATTCGCCAACAGTTAGCGAGTGGCGAAACGAACGAACTCAATGAAGTACAACCAAACTCGCTATCGTCTATCCGTGCTAGCTAACTTTGTTGTTGCTTTCACATGCAAACTTCTTCTTTAAGCGACCGGAACTCAAACATAGCGAGCGAGAAGTGGCGAATCGATGACGGCTATTGAAGAAAATATCCAACACCGTCAGCGGAAAAAAATCTCACAAACCAAGGCAGAGTTTTAGTTATCTTTAACAGCTTCCCTCCCTCTTGTCAGCAAAAGTAAGCAAAGTTCTTACAAAACAAAAATGCATTTGTTGGGAAATCCGTTCCCTAGTTGATACTTTTTATTTGCCATTATCTCTCTTTAACATTTGCGTTCCCATTGCTACTTTTAGCTGCAACGTTGCCGTGATGTTGTTAACAGACATTGTTGTCGACGGTATTCCGGGAATCGATTGGACGTTGCATTTACCATTGATGCTGCATATTTCATTTTTAGGTATAGATCATACGCGCGTTATTGTGCGAGAACATTGCAAGCAGCTTTGTATTAATTTACTGGTAAGTTGTGCTATTAACTCCCTTTTCATAGCCGTTGTGCGAATGCATTACTCCTATTTATCTGATGTTAAAGCGTTATTAATTTATATACATATTGCTCATTTACTAAAAGGCTATCATACCATTTTTGCTTAGATCGTTTTGGCTGAGCATAATGACCATCTTACTGTCGCTCGCATTTTGTTGAACTGCGAAACAATGAAACTCGACTTGGGGCTATCGGTGCCATCCTTGCCGGTAATAGACAACATATTTACAGGTGCGTATGAATTGTAAAATAGAGAGCTCAAAGTTACATTAAGAAAAACGTCTGATCAAAGTCATATTTCAGCAACTTATGGAAATAATGAATTACTTTAATAATTTTTAAGTTTAAAATAACGTTATCGAGCTCCAAAAGGTTCTAAAGTAAGCAAATACTAGTTTTCTTACGTTTATTAGCGTTCACAAAAATCCGATCAGCTATACCTTAAAACTGCAAGTTCGGGCGAAACCGAATTTTATACATATACCAGTCGCAGGTATCAACTATCGTCGTTCTAAATTTCTTTAAACTACCTAAAAGTCTATAAGTCTTATTTTTTGTTAAAAGATCTGTTCCACAACCATATCGTGCACGTCTTGTAATTTTTTAACAGGGTTCGGAAATTCTCACTCACATTCTCTCACGTTCGCGATCGATAATATTCCAAATCAATTTTTGCATTCTTTTATCGCGAGTGAAGAATGCAAACAAATTTATCATCTCTCACATTCGGAATGCGATCGACAAAAAAATTTCCGCTGCTTTTCATTCGCGATCGAAAAAAGCAAAGAAATTTCCTATCACTCGAATATGAGAAGTCCGAGCATTGCCGATTTTGGCCTCTCATTAATGAGAAAAACGATGCATATAATCCATTCGCGATCACTCACAACAGCTTATCGCGATAAACTTATCGCGAAAAATTTTCAAAGACGTTGTAGGGGAGATATTGGTCGCGTTTGTTTTGGGTATGCATANGGGAAGATGGTTGTCCTGAAAATCAGATGGTTGTTTAAAACAGCAGTCTTATGAAATGGGTGAGCTAGACAAGGACAAGAAGGCAAAAACACGCTTTTTTACAGGGTTGTGTGGAACAGCAAACACATTTTGCACCGGGGAAGGGCAACATTTAAATCACCATAAAGCTTTTTAAAAAGAATTCTTCATTCTCATTCCTTTGGCTGTTTCAGAATTTGGGGAATCTGTAACTTCATCAGCGTTTTTCGTTTTCAGTTTCTGTAATTCATTTTTAATACTTTATTCTGCGGCTGCTTTGAAAAATTTGTACTTATAGCGAGCTGTGGAAAATAAATTATTATTTTCCAGGAATGAAAATTTTGAACAAAATTCTGTTTTCAAAGTCGTGACTGCCAGCCGAATCGGATCAGAATGTTGTTATTGTTTTTAAAACACCACCCTGTTTTTTATATGCATTTAAATCTCAGATAGTTACGTTATTCTTATCTTATTAAAGGTCAGACCCATAGTTTTTTAATTAATCTAGCATCGATTGTCTTTATAGACAGACGTGGATCATTTCTGCTGGAAATCCCTATTGAAGGAGCTTACTCTTTGACTTTAAATAGCAAAGAAGGGACATTTTTACCACAGAAGTTTTTAGCCAAGGATCCAATGTATATCTCTATGATTGCCCGACAAGTAAACAAAATTACTGTTTTTAAAATTGTTCTAAAAATAAATTCCCAAAAGAGCCCCATTTGAAATTATTGAAACGACTGTATGTAACATCAAAAGCAAATAACGAAAATTTGGTTAAGAATTGCTGTACATTTTTTCTTATTTTTTATCAAGTAGTTTTTTTAAGTTTGGTCCAAAAAAATCATAATAAAGAAATAAACCAATACAGGTATTTAAAGTACAAAAAAAAATAAAAAAATGTTCAAAATACTATGTTTTCTTTGAAGTACTTCAAAGGTCAAGTAGAAGTTGGAACTTGCATGATTGTCCATTGATAGCTCGGTTATATAGCTAAAGAAGTAATATGTTTAAAGACATTTTTATCAAAGTAGATAAAGTTTTGTTACAAATACTCCCACGGCCACAGGCAAAATTATTGTCTACAATTTGTCATTTTGTTTTCCATATAGGTATACGTTTTATCGGTGCACTTGCACAACATTCGCATTCGCAAAAGCTCCGCATTGATTATTGCGAATACGAAAGCGAATGCGAATGTTAAAATTAATGCGAAAGCTCCGCGGTAGCGAATGCGAAATTGAATATTCGCAACAACACTGATATGTACTGTTATTTAATAAGAAAAGTCGACATATTAATTTTGCATTGGCTTTATTCAACAGGATTTTCGCTTGCATTCTTTTATGCATAACTTGCACTTTATGCCTTTTAGTGTATTCTTGCCTTTATGTTGAATATGTTGAATCTGTACCAACGATGACATCAATTTAGATGCAGCCATTGCTCGATTATGGGAACTTGAGGATGTTGCAACTGTAATAAAACAACATTCCGTAGCAGAAAAACAGTGCGTAGCTCATTTCGCACAACATACCCTCATCAATGAAAATGGGAGATTCATGGTAAGGCTACCATTTCATGAATATCCTTAGGCCTTAGGGGAATCCTATGGGATGACGTATAATCGATTCCTGGCCTTAGAACGTCGACTGGCAAAATCGCTCCAGACAAATAATCAATATGTACAATTTATGGAGGAATATGAGAACTTCGGGCACATGACGCAATTGGATATTGATTCCATCAGTAAACCTAGGTACTTCATTCCTCACCATTGCATTGTGAGACCCGAAAGCCGCACTACAAAATTGCGTGTGGTGTTCGACGCATCAGCAAAATCGTCTGCTGGCATGTCTTTGAACGACATCATGTATACCGGAGCGAGCTTTTCACCATTTTACTTCGCTTCCGTTTACCCAGGTTCGCCTTCACCACAGATGTAGAAAAAATGTATCGACAAATGCTCATTCAACCGGACGAGCGCAAATTCCAGCTTATCATCTGGCGAAAGGATTCAAGCCTACCAATAAAGCATTATCAGCTAAATACAATCATATATGGGACAAGATCTGCTCCATATTTAGCCACCAAATGTTTGCAGAAAATTGCAAAAGAAAATGCATTACAATATCCTCTTGGTACTCAGTTTCTACAGGACAATTTTTGGGTAGATGACGGAATTGGTGGGTCAGACAGCTTAACCACGACGATGGAAATCCAACAGAAACTGATACACATCTTAGAACAACGTGGTCTTAACCTAATAAAATGGTGCGCCAAGCACTCACAATTACTGCAAAATGTTGGCATGGAGGAACATGAAGTTGACATAGACTTTGACAATGACATCAATCAAACTATTAAAACGTTNCCAAGCACTCACAATTACTGCAAAATGTTGGCATGGAGGAACATGAAGTTGACATACACTGAGAAAAGGGTTTAGTTACGTCAACCAAATATGTTTATATCAACACATGATTTGGTTATAGTTACACTGTTTGGTTATAGTTACCAAATCATGTGTTGAGAGAAATNTGACAATGACATCAATCAAACTATTAAAACGTTGGGGTTAACATGGATGCCTAAGATGGATCGATTCTGCGTAAAGGTATGCCTAGGAAGCTGCAGTCTTGCAACTATACGCTCAGTCAGCGCCGATCTTGCAAGGCTCTTCGATCCGTTGGGGATACTAGCACCAATTTTAGTCATGGCAAAAATGTTTATTCAAGATCTTTGGCAACTAAAACTGACATGGGATGAAGCATTACCAGCCGATTTGAATGAGAGATGGACAACATTCCGAAATGATTTGCAAAAATTGGACAACATGCAAGTTTCACGGCACGTGTTTGAAGGATACATCCGATGCGATTTACATTATATCCGAGCTGGATAAGGGACTAGTACAAGTGGGGCTGCTCTGCGCAAAATCACGTGTGGCACCCTTGAAATGGCAAACTATTCCTCGGCTTGAGCTCTGTGCATCAGTACTGGGTGCTCAATTAACTACAAGGGTCAAATCAGAAATTAAGCTAGACGATGTGGCTACATACTTTTGGACTGATTCACAAATCGTATTGGCATGGATTAACTCATCCTGAGCATCATACTAAACATTTGTGGCAAACCGTATAGCTGTTATTCATGAGCACACTACCGCTGAACAATGGCGGCATATAAGCTCAAAAGACAACCCAACTGACATTCTATTACGTGGACTGCCGCCGGGGAGGCTAGAAACCTGCAATATGTGGTTTTATGGGCCAACAATCTTGCTTGGTAAAGAAGACACTTGGCCTTCAAAGTATTCCAAGACATTATCAGTAATCGACGAAGGTATCAACATGGAACGGAAAAGGGTGACATCAGTCGCTGTTGCAACCTCTGGACATGAAGGAAGCTTACTTTATAGCATTCGACACAATGGCTCTTTCAAAACAAAGAGTAACAAGCTACATGCTGAGATTTATCAATCAGGCCAGAAACCAATCGCGGCAGTCAGACATTCCCTTAACCGTACACGAATTGGAAAAAGCGCTTGTGCTAATCGTTCGTACAATGCAGCAATTGGACTTTGAGGAAGAGCTTCAGCACCTTAAAAAATACAACAAAGTTCGCAAAAATAGTTCTTTCCGCAGCCTGTCACCGTTTGTGGACAATAATGGCATCATCCGAGTTGGAGGGCGTCTACAAGCATCAGAACTTGCATACGATGCCAAACACCCTATGCTAATTCCACATAAAAATTCGCTGGCCAAATTATTAGTATAAATGATCCATAAAGAAAACCATCATTGTGGACCTCAAGCGCTTCTACATAAGGCAAAGATTTTGGCCTATTAAGGGAAAATTGCTGACACGATCAACGAACTGTGTAAGATGCACCAAAGCTAAGCCAAAACTAATGAGTCAAATTATGGGGAACTTGCCTTCAACAAGAGTAACTCCAGCAAGACCATTCATCAACTCAGGCGTGGACTTCTGCGGGCTATTTTGGGTTCACTTCAAGATAAGGTGAAAGAAACCACAAAAGGCCTATGTAGCGGTATTTTGCTGTTTTGCCACCAAGGCAGTATATGAAGGAAACGACGGTGTAGTGAGAGTGGCTGATGTAAAAACTGCTAGTGGCACTTGCAAGAGGCCTATTCATCGGCTTGCACCGTTGCCCAAGGAAACAAATGATGCCACAGGATGACAATCAACCAACAAATTGCTTGAGGAAGACAAAA